TTGGAGGCGTTCCCTTCCACGGCTGTGCAGACCTGATTTTGCCAGGCATCTTGCCTACTTCCAAAGGCTAAAGGCAACCAAAAATGCAGCAAAGGTCGGGGTATGAACCTTGCCCGAATCCTCCCAACTGCCTTGCCTGCCACGCCGTTCTTCCGCGCAGGCCGGAGGGCAGCGTCGTACGCGTCAGTGCCAGGCCTTTCCGGGACCCCCCTTCCGTCTTGAGCATGCTTCGGCACCAGTGTCTTTGAAAGCTTGGGTTTGTGGAATGACATGCGTCGAAACGTCGCCCCTGGACCTCTTGCACATCCCTATGTAGCCTTACACGTGTTATACATATATATATATATATATATATATATTTTTTTTATTTATTTATTTTTATTTATTATACATGTATATATATATATATATCTATCTATCTATCTATCTATATATCACCAAATCCCGAGAGCCCTCAACAAACAGTCTCCGACGCGCCCTATGCTACCACAGATCCGACAAAGGTCGCCCAGGCATGCAGAACGTTCTGGGAGCCCATGGAGCTGCGAGCGCTACAGTCGCGAGGCCATCCGACGCAGTTGGCCCGTTCGACCGTCTGTATGCCCAACCCTGCAAAGCCGCATCCCTGTCACAGGCTATCGGAGTATGGCAATGATTGAGGTGGCCGCGAAAGCGACTGTGAAGGCCAACCCTAGAAGCAATGGCCTGAAGCGCCAGAGCCACGTGAGCGCCAGCAGGGCCACCGCCTGCTGCCAGCAGGATGCCCGCCTGACCATTCAGTGCACATGCTGGGTTGTTGTTGTTCTCCCCGGGCTTACAACCCAACAGGGCTTCGAGGTTCGGGGCGATTTGAGTGGAAGGTCGACCAACCCTAAACCCTAAACCCTAAACCCGCGCCTAACTGAGCAACGGCCCGAAGCCCCACCTGCAAGATGTGGCAGCGGCCGTCAGCTGGCCCTGCGGCACAGGAACGCAAACTGCCAACTGCCAGCCACCCTTGCGGTTTAGGGTTTATAGGGTTTATCGGGTTTATAGGGTTTATAGGGTTTATGGGGGAAATAGGGTTTATAGGGTTTATAGGGTTTAGAGGGTTTAGAGGGTTTATAGGGTTTATAGGGTTTATAGGGTTTATAGGGTTTTCAGAGTATCCTGGTTCTTGTGCTGGGCACCGCGGCCACTACTTTCAACAGGGCTTGAGGTCCTACTCCCAGGATTCGTCATCACGGAACAACTTCAGCCAGCCATGGGATGCACGTGGTGCCTGGGCGTCCAGCTCGGCCAGCATGTGCCTCAGGGTAGCCCTACGCGGCCCTCATGGGCAAAACTAGGGGTGGCCGCTGCAGAATCGGGTCTTGCGCTTGGACCTGGGGCTGGCATGCAGATGAGCAGCAAGGAAGACTGCCAGTCCGAACCTGGTGAGGTAATGGCCTGGACTTGGTAAGGTTTGTCTTTGGCCCCAGTCGCTGACCGTTGCCGAAGCTTCCCTGCTAAGACAACCTGTACCTAGGGAACCAAAGGTTAACCTTTGGGATTATAAAGGGATTATATTACCCCAAAAAGGTTAACGGTGACCTACTCTACAACTAAGCCCACAAGGGCCAAGTCGACAGCCCGAGCGGCGCACGCCTCTGCTAGGGGGCCAACTTCTTGGAAGGCCAAGGAAAACGCCACCCGCCAGAGACTCCAGCGACACAAGGATCCCAACGCCAAGCGCTGGTCTCTTCGGCTGATGGACTCGTGCATTACGAGGGCTTGGGACCAGGACTGTATGCACAGCGCCTGCTCCTGCACCGTGACCTGCCATCCGCGGGAACGTGCTGCTTGCAGTATCTTGTATGCCCTTCGGACCTTTCCACCGGCGGAACAAGCTTCCAGTGCAGGAACGAGATCGGCTCTGCTGATTAGCTTCGAGCTGCCACCGGGAGCAGAAGAGAAGCGCAGCAAGCGCAGGGATTCTCGCCAGTACGCCGCCCTGACGATGGACCTCAAGAATGATTGCCTGGTATCAAAGCTCTTCTTCAGAAATAGCAGCAGGGCTGCTCCTTCTTGCCATTTCAGCTTGGCCGCGCAGGCCATAATCACACTACTGTGGCAGATGGCACATGCGCGGATGCGCGTGCGGGAAAATTGTGAAAGCATTTCGAGTGCCGGCTCCGCAGCAGCTGCTCGTTGGCACGCGGCAAAGACGGACGACAGAGACACCCGATCAGATTGGAGCCGAGCCCCATGGAGACGGTCCAGCTGCTGGACGGCCAAAGTCCAGTTGCCACGTTCTTCTGCTCCACGGCTCGCGGCGGCTATGGCGCAGTTGTACAGAGTCAAGCTTGGAAGCGATCCTTCCTGGCGCACCCAGTCGCAAAGGCAAAGCGACCAACGCCAAGCGCCTGTCCGCGCCTCTGCGCGATTGCAGGCTGCTGCGGCAGATGTTAAAGGCACAGTCTCCGGGAAGAGCTTCCAGCGGCGCATGAGCCCCACCACCTTCATGCCTTTGTGCCACTGGACCGCGCGGCCGCACGCTGAGATGGCCGCGCCGAAACTGATCTGATCAGCCACAAGAACCCGAGAGTCCCTCGAGCTCGCAAGCATGTCCAGGAGCAACTGGAGAACCCTGGGCCAAGCCTGGGCCCGGCAGCGGAACACGGCCGAGCTCACGGCGTTGCTCACGTTCTGGATCATCTGTAGCCCATCTTGCCGGGCCCGGGCGAGGACGCACAGGGCGCTGTCCCAGCGCCCGCTGCTGCGGCTCGCGTCCGCCGCCGCCACGTAGAGCCCCGGGTCGGCCATTTCCGCTGACTCCAGCGCCCGAGGCGTGCGGAAGAGGAGGCCAAAAGCCGTCTGCCAGAGCTGCATGCGCCCAAATCTTCGAACAAGCAGTGCCAGCACGTGGCTCGTGAGCCGCTGGCTGCGGCGCAAGTAGAGGGTCAGGTCTAGCAGCTCCTCCTTTGCAACATACTTGGCCTCCAGGAACTGCGTTATCTCCTCCATGTTGGGAGGATTCACACGGCACTGGTCATTGGCCCGCCACTTCAGCGATCTCCGCCGGGGGTGGAGTCGCCAGCTCCTTCGAACTTTCCACTGCTGGGACTCGCTGTCCTCTTTCGGCCAAAGGATCCAGGTCTGCTCCTTGAGGGAACTTTTCAGCTCACGAAGCCCATCCTTGCTTCTTCAGTCTTGGGTCTTAGGAAGTCTCACAAAACGCTGGAAGACAAGGGAATAGCCTTGTTTCTTCGGGACACATGCGGACGAGCGTCTTTCGGGCCGCGCTGCTTCCCATACCACTTTGTGTAGGGGAGGAGCTGGCCCTTCCGCAAGAGCATGCCACCCATGTCTCCAATGGCCCTGTGCACAAATTCACATGTAGCGTCGAGGTTTGCCTCCACGAAGACGTCTCGACAAGCCTGGGCCATGGAGACGAATTGGGATGTTCCCCCGTGTACTAACAGCTCCTTAATAGGGATTACAAGAGCCCCCTATTCTAATCCCTACTAAGGACGGTTAGTATAAGGGGGAATAGCCCCAAGATACGAACAACAACACAAAAGGCTCCAAACTTCTCCTGACTCGTGGAAGTCTTAAACTTGGGCGCTTTTCTGGGCGGAAGAAAGCAAGGGCCAAGAAGCCTTATCCGTGAGAAGACGCTCCTCTCTGGCTGGCATCGGTTCCGATGATTTGGCGCTCTGCGCCTGGCAAGCAAAATTCTGCGTGACAGTGCTGGTACTACGGGTACTACGAAAGCAGGCGCCTTTTCAGAAGGGATTCGATTGATTCGATATTACCAAGGTCCGATACCAAGGATTCATGTTGAACAAAAACATGCTTCGAAAACCTAGAGTGGCGCCTTCCCAGAATCAACCCTAAATCCAAAAGCACGTGCCCGACCTACTTTGCACGCGTCAAGCCCTCCATCCAGGGACGCAGGCTCGTGACATCCAGCCCTCAACGCCCAGCGCTAACCGCCCAAGGCTTGAACCCTGAACCAACTAAGCCGAACACGGAATCAACAACCCTGGCGCCAGACCTGTCAGCCTATTTTTTACTTCAGGGTCTAGAGAGTCTAGAGCTTACGGACGCGCACGCGCTCGGCCGCCCAACCATGCTGCCTCCAAAAACTGCCGCACCCGGCCATGGCTGGCGATCTGCGCGTTCCTCGCCTGGAACCACACCTTCCGCAGCCGCCCCTTCCGCCACCTGACACACGTCTCTGTCTCGAGCTGCCCACTCCCCTTTGCATCTCGTGGGGCTTCGGGGGAGGCCGGGGGGTCGGAGTTGAGGATCTTGGGGAAGAGTGTGTGTGGATGCTTGGGGACCTCCAAAAACACGGACGAGCTCTGCTTCGTCACATTGCAAGTGGCAAAACCCTTCCGGGTCAAGCAGCGCTGCGGACGAGCTATGAACGGCAAAGGAGTAGTAATAATAGAAGGAGTAATAATCGTAGTAATAGTTGAGATAGTAATAACCGAAATAATGATTAGTAACAATAGTAATAGTCGTAATAATCGCAATAATAACTATCATACTAATAATAGTAATAATAATAATAATAATAACAATAGTAATGGTAATAGCAACAATAATAATCATAATAAATAATATTTTCAACAATAGCAATAGTGGCACTGATCGTTGTTTTAAAGCCTGGCTCAAGAAGCCACCTGAAAGAGCTGGCAGATGCCTCGGGGGTTCTGAAGAAAGCAATTTACCTAACGGCTTTTCTGCTTGCAACCTGTCTGGCTGACGAACGGTTCTTTGGTTTAGGGTCTAGGGTTTGGGGTTTGGGGTTTGGGGTTTGGGGTTTAGGGTTTTAGGGTTTAGGGTTTGGGGTTTAGGGTTTGGGGTTCAGGGTGTCTACCTCGGGACGGCAGCACCATGCCGCCGATTTTCCGGCCACGGCACCGGTGCACCAGATGCGAAGGCTCATAGCAGTCACGGGGGAGAGGAGGAAGATCAGCCGTGACCGATGATGGGCTGGCAAGGTAGGAGGAACCGGGCCCTAATCTCATAACATCCCAAAACCCGAAGGCCCTTTTAAACCCTGAACCTTGTTCCCCAAGACAGCCTCCAGTTCAGTCGCAGCTTGACTTGCCTGACGCGGTAGGCAAGTTCCCGAGTGAAGGGCTTAGGAAAGGCAGGTACACCAGACTGCACCAAGGACCTAAACCTTAGGTCCTAAACCTTAGGTCCTAAACCCTAAACCCTAAACCCCTGCGAGGACCTAGAGATCAGATCCCCCTAAGGGTTCGCAAAAACTACCCGGGACTGGCAGAGGGAAGTTCATTGGTAGGTTTCAGCAGGGTTATAAGAAGGGTAACCCATATCTTTAACCTTAATGAAGGTACTTCTAACCCTGAACCCTAAACCCTTTTTGAACCCTGAACCCTAAACCCTAAACCCTACACCCTCAACCCTAAACCCTAAACGCTAAACCTACCCCGACGTATAACTACCTTCAAGCGCCGGAATCCGGAGCCGGGTTGTTTTTTGGTGTTTTTTTAGTTTTTTGGGTATATTTGTGGGTTTAGGCTATGTTTTTGGGTTTAGGGTATGTTTTTGGGTATAGGGTTTAGGGTTTAGGGTTAGGGGTTAGGGTTTAGGGTTTAGGGTTTAGGGTTTTAGGGTTTTAGGGTTTTAGGGTTTTAGGGTTTTAGGGTTTTAGGGTTCTAGGGTTTTAGGGTTTTAGGGATTTTGGGGGTTTGGGGTTTTAGGGTTTTAGGGTTTTAGGGTTTTAGGGTTTTAGGGTTTAGGGTTTAGGGTTTAGGGTTTAGGGTTAGGATTTAGGGTTTAGGGTTTAGGGTTTAGGGTTTAGAAAACCAAAAAAATACCCAAACAAAACAAAAAATATAGCCAAAAAGAACCCCCGCCCCCGGAATCCTGCTGTAGCGAGCTGGTAGTTGATCAAAACGGGCTCGCAAAGTAGGTTAAGGGTTCAGGGTTTAGGGCTGGGTTTAGGGTTTAGGGTTTAGGGTTCAAGGTTTAGGGTTTAGGTTTAAGGTTCAGGCAAGCCAGAGCCAGACTTGAGCTTAGTGGGGTCTCCAGAGATGGGTTTAGGGGTTTAGGGGGTTTAGGGGTTTAGGGGTTTAGGGGTTTAGGGGTTTAGGGGTTTAGGGGTTTAGGGGTTTAGGGGTTTAGGGGTTTAGGGGTTTAGGGGTTTAGGGGTTTAGGGGTTTAGGGGTTTAGGGTTTAGGGTTTCGGTTAGGGTGAGGCTCCCCGAACTGCTTGTGGGCAAGAAGCGAAAATTCACGCAGAACAGGGCCGTCCAGACTTCAGGTTTTCGGGGCTTGGGGCTCCAAGCAGAACCACGCAAGCCGAAACCCTTGCTGCCAAGGACCCTACACCCTGTGAAGGGATACAGGGAGGGACCTCTACCCTATATAACCCCTATATTCTACTACCTTATAGAGTCACCTTTTCCCTGTGTAGCCCCTACATTGCCCCCAAGGTCCCTTCTACGGTTGCCTCCTTCAGTCCCTAGACCCTATGAGCCCTGCAGCCCTCGAAGCCAGCAGCCCTCAACTCTAAACCCTTTTTGCAACTGGCTTGAGGACACCCGAAACCCCAAACCCCAAACCCTAAACCCCAAACCCTAAACCCCAAACCCTAAACCCCTGTAACACCCCTTCTCCGGGCCCCCGTCACCCGACCTCGAGGCGCTGGGGTCCGAGGCCCAAAGTATCCTGGGGGTTCCCGGGAATTGGGGATATCTGGGTCTCAGGGTGTTTAGGGTTTAGCGTCTGAGGGTTCAGGGTATAAGGGGCTTCCGAAACAATCCGCCACGACCAGCCGGGCTTCGAGGGTTGGGGATTCAGTTAGGGCAGTTTCTCAGTAGGGTGAGAAGTACTCTCATTGAGGTTATCCTATAGGTTGCCTTGCTTATAACCATACTTGTTACCAATCACCCATGAACCTTCAAGTAGGGTCCCATTTCCCCGCCAAAAGCTTGCAAAGCGTCCAGGTCTGCTCTCGCAGCGACTGCTTCAGGGCAGGCAGGCCGCCCTGGGAAGCTTGCTTGACTACTCGCAGGTACCTTACATTAAAGTAAGATACGCATGAACCCAAAACCTTCATGGGTAGTAGTTGCAAGTAGGCTTCTACTTACGGTACCAAACTGCAACCTAACATACTGCATTCTTACAACCCTACTTATCACACCCTACACCCTAGACCCTTTTTGCATCAGGACAACCCTAAACCCTAAACCCGAAACCCTAAACCCTAAAAACCTACCTTGAACCTGCAAGCAAACCTTCAAGCATGGCCGTCAGGACTCCTGAAGGCTTCGGGCTGTAGGGATTTAGGGTTTCGGGTTTCGGGATTTATATAGGGTTTAGGATTTAGGGCTTAGGGTTGAGGATTTAGGGCTTAGGCATCAAGTACCGGTTTAAGAAGCGAGAGGATGCTCAGCCCAGAGTGGTTTTGCCCCCCGTGCCTAGCTGACACGTAGAGTGACGCTCCTCAACCCTAAACCCCTTGAACCCCTTAAACCCTCAAAAACCCTTTTGCAGCCCTAAACCCTAAACCCTAAACCCTGAAACCCCTAAACCCCTAAACCCTGAACTCCTAAACCCTCAACCCCTAAACCCTGAAACCCTAAACTTCAGGCCCTAAACCCCCAAACCCTTAAACCCTGAGCTCCATGTTGAGCCCACCACGGCCTGCTGCCTGCGTGCCACTCGGAAGTGCCAGGCGGTGAAAGGTCTGAGCTGGTCGCCCTTCCTTCGCTTCTCTGATTTCAACAAGAGCAAGAACAAGAACAAGAACAATGACAAGAACAATAACAAGAACACTAACAATAACAGGAACAATGACAGGAACAAGGACAATAACTATAACAAGAGCAAGAACAAGAACAATACAAGTTCAAGAGGCTTTAGGCTTCGGCCTCGGGCTAGGAACAAAGCTGATTGCGGGGAAAAGCAAGGAGGCCATTGTGGCGGGGTCTCTTTTCTGGCACAGAACTGTAAGACGTGCAGTTTATGTAAGGTGCCAGTAGAGCCTATGAGTCAGACCAACCCTGCCGCAGTCTGCGCTTCGTATAAGCAACTAGGCATTTAGGTGCCTTCATCAAAGGTATGATCATGATTGCTAGTGCTATAACAATAACAATATCTTGATTACATCAGGTGGCATGATATGAGTTGCATTACGTATGCACTATATAATTTAATGCAAAATCATAAAATACAATGTAATTTGATTTAGTTTAACATAACATACTTTAATACATTACAACAGGTCACCTCTCTTATAGGGTTCTTAAGGGTGGAGGGTTCATGGGGGGTTAGGGAGCCTTGGGGAGTAGTGGGGAGTATTAGGGTGCACACACCCCTTA